CTTTAAGTCTGATATTCTTTTTAACTTACAAATTAACTTATTTTTAAATTTTAGGATTAAGTATATTGAAAATAGTAGAATAAGCTAACTTAGAATGATATTTTAAAATTTTGTAAAAAGTTTAGTTTTTACTAATAAAATTTTTTTTAAAAACAAATTTTGCTAATTTTAAAACTTCAATTATATGTAAAATTTTATGATGAACAAACTTATTTAGAAAATGAAAATAGATTATATTAGTAAAAAAATAAGTTTACTATATACAAATAATAATTATTTTAGTTTTTTTATATATAACTTTTTTTGTTCTAAAACAATCTGTTTTTATCTTCTAAGTAAACTTGTTCAAAACAAAATTTTGCATTATATATTTGTCAAATTGTGATTTTTTAAACATTTTACTAAGTAAAAAATTAGATTAACTTTGTATAAATTTTTATTTTCTAAAAAAAAATTTTTATACAAAGTTAATCCAATTTTTTACTTAGTAAAATATTTGAAAAATCTTATTTTGATAATATATATATATGTAAAATTTTGTTCTAAACAGGTTTACTTAAAAGATAAAGATAGATTGTCTTAATTCAAAAAAAAGTTATATATAGAAAAACTAAAAAATTATTATTTGTATATAGTAAACTTATTTTTTTACTAATATAATCTATTTTTGTTTTCTAAGTAAGTTTATTCAGCATAAAATTTTACATATAATTCCAGTTTTAAAATTAGCAAAATTTGTTTTTAAAAAAAAATTATTAGTAAAATCTAAAATTTTTACAAAATTTTAAAATATCGTTCTAAGTTAGCTTATTCTACTATTTTTGATATACTTAATTCTAAAATTTGAAAATAAGTTAATTTGTAAGTTGAAAAGAATGTCAGGCTTAAAATTTATAGTAAATTTATATGTTTTTTATAATTTTTATTATAAAAAACACACTATATAACAAGGTGTGGTGATTTAGTAAAGTGATGGAGTTGTCACACCTCTAGATGGCAGTTCTAGAGTTTAAATCCCATGGACAACAATTTTGAAAATACCAGATCTGTATTGGTTAATGTTAAGATTATTAGTTAGTTCTAGATATCTATAATTTTGGTCACACTATCTCGAATAGGAGCTTTGGTACAATAAATACAGAAAACTGGAATTACTGAAAACTCATTTGGCAAGTCCCGAGTAGGGAGGTAGTATAATCTTTGATGGTGCTATAGAAAGACTGAATTTGAAATTGGAGACCGAGACTGGAGAACTAAGTGATCAGGTCTTTAAGTGGGGGACATACTAGCTGAACCACCGGGTCACCAACCAGAGAAAAAAGACATGTGCTCTGGAAACATGTACCAAGAGAAGGAAGACTATAAGACATCTAAAGCCTGGGCAGACTGACCCTTCTGGGTTGCTGGCTGGAAGTAAGGGAGAAACCAGTAAAGAGTCCAAGGAAGAAGGAAAGTCTGAATGTAGGTACCAGGTTCATGCGAACCTTATAAGGGCAAGGAGTATATAATAGGAAACTAATTAGAAAGGTTGTGGTTTGAGTAGCTATAGAATGGCAGTATCCTAAAAGATGGTGTGAGATACGAACACAGTGTAGCAATATAGCAGATACTAGTTAGGAAGAAGTTACCGAACATGCAGGTAAATATATGTGTAGGACATGGACCATTCTGTTAGGTTTACCTTGTGGATAGATTAGCCAAAATAGATTAGTAAGTCCTAAGGTAGGTGTGAAATCCAATTGGGTAGAAGCAAAACCCACATATGTATGGTGAGTAATACCCAGGACTAGGTGTAACAAATGGTAATTGTAATCAAAGAGTTTAAATAGGTACTCTGTAGTTGGGGTGCAGGTACAGCAGATAGTGTAAAACCTTTGGGCAGACTACTTAAATTAGGCACCAAAAGTGCATGTGAGGCTTGATATACTCTCGTTGTAATTATAAAAACATATGTTGCATTTAATAAAAAAGTCCCCAGGCTGTAGAGGTCACCTTAACACCAAAAAAAAAAAAAAAACTCTATATAACATATTCCCTGACTGTTAAGTGTCCCTGACTATCATAGAAAGACATTCATATAATTTGTTAATTTTTGTAGATTTACCCGTGATTGCCCGTAACAATTAACCAATCAAAACATATAATTTTTAAGAAGACTTATCATTTTAATACTACTACTAGAAAATGAAAAAAAAACTTCTTATAAAGCTTACAAACCAATAAATACATATAAAAAAATTTATTATATATACTTTAGAGAATAGGTAGATACGCGCAAAGTGGGATAAATATGATATTTATTATTAATAAACCCGAACTTATTATTAAAGAATCTATAAGATATATAAATCAAAATTTTGATTTTATGAATAACTAACCCAAACACATTACAAAAACATCCAAATTTAAATATTAAATTCGGATCTTCTACTATTAAAGAGCTTGTTCCTATTCAATTTAAACGTTAGCAATAAAATTTTCTTTAGATCTAACGTAATAAAGTAGTTTTGGACAAAACTTATTCCAGTTACCTACAATATAATTTCGCGTGGTCCAATAAACGGAGTATATTTTTTGTCTTCTAAGCAAAGTATGCAGGAAGTGAGATGATTTAGAGATTATTTTGCATAGTGAATATAGACGTTGCTTCGAAGTTATAAAAGGCTTTTGCAGTTATTTTTTATTGGTAAAATGTTACGTTCTCAAAAAGTACTTTAAAGTGTATAAATAAGTTACCCGGGCAATTGATTTACATCAGCCAATCAGACGAAAGTCCTCCTATGACCCTGACCATCAATCGAGGGCGCAGTCACATGATAATCCGACCTCCTGATCTCATTTTATTTTGATACGCCTATTGCTATGCAATGTAAACAGTTAATTCTTTTTATACCGAATCTTTTTATAATAATCGCTCTATGATGAACCTTTTTAAAAAAATTTATTAGGGTTCAGTATAGAAACATAGTAAATTACTTCCACGAGTAATGGTTAAAAATTTTAATCCGAGTTTTACAAAATCCGTTCGCGATTATTATTAATCAAGTTTATCTTTAACATATGTATAAACGTATTCTGGCCTAATAGTAATAGGTATTACGATGACATGTGGGTCTTTGCCTTGAAAATGACCTTACGGGTCTATGTAGATTTTATGAATAAAAATTAAAATTTCTGGCTATCCAGTAATCCAATTCAAACAAACCTTTTTTTATTTTGTAGAGCTTAATGAGTTCTACCAAATAAGAAAAAATTGTTTGAATTGGATTATTAGATGGCTAGAAATTTTAATTTTTATTCACAAAATCAACATAGTCCCGTAAGGTCATTTTCAAGGCAAAGACCCCATGTATAATCAGTCAAAAGAGTATACGTAGTATACAGTATTATACGGAATGTATATTATTAATTGAAAACCTTTACATTAAGCATAAAATTTTAAATATTTTATATACATTCCATATAATTTTGATAAAAAATTATACACATAGTATAATGTATAGTAAAAAATTTATACTTGTAATAAATAATAAGGGTTACTAACACACTACAAGGAAATCTGAGAATAGGGAATAATTAACTATTACTCTAACATTTTTTTTAAGATTTAAAAAAGATGTCTTAATAACGACTTAGTTAATTTAGATGTTTAAGGCTGTTTTCGAATCCTATTAATTTATAGAATTCGAAAATAGCTTCTTTCAAAATTTGTGAGACAGTTAAAAAAGTAGCTAGAAATTTTTATTGTTGGTTAACAAGACAAAAGATCTAATATAGAATAGATATTATACTAGAAAATTGGTTTTCAAGGAGAATTGTTGGGATGTTATGTTTGGTAACAATTTGTGAAGAATAGGAATTTGAAGAAGGTTTGTAAATTTCTGTGCAAAGGTATTACACTAAATTGAAAAGTGCAATAATAATACGTAATAATAATAAGAGAAACAATTATACATAAATAGAACCGAGCAAAAAATATTCTGTGCCTATTGCATAAATTGTGATAGAATTCTAAATCAGCTAATTTGCTAGAGAAATTGTGTCGATTTATAGCGCTTTGCAAAAAGATGTGAACATATGATTTTAGTGATGATGATGGCTGAGAATCACTAAGATTCCAGATTGTTTGTTACTTTATATTTACGATTGGTTACGTTTATATTTCTTTGAAATCGGTTTAATTCTTAAAATCTCAAAAAATCTATTAATATCTTGTCCCAGGATATAGTTGTATTTAATGAATCTTGAAGAAATTTAATATGGAAATCATAATATTTTTGTATAATAAGAGATTTACGACATTAACAGATTTCTTGCAGCTCAGCATAGAGCAATTTGACGAATAAGAATTTCAATCTCTTTTTTTTTTTTTTTATAAAATACAATTTAATCACGACATACATACAGCAGTTATACATAGTGCATAAAACATAATTCAAACTATATATTATTAAATAAATGCCATAGAAAATATACATACCGTATAGTTTAAACCGTAAAGTTATACTTTCGGTATATTTACTATACATAATGTATGCCAAAGTTTACTATACTGATTTACTATATATTCAATAGTAATAGCTTTGTTTTTAAAAACAATTACGAAATCTTTCCCTTCCCAAAAAAAATCAATATTCAAAAACAAATGACTAAATAAATAAGTGAAAATAAAAATAAAATAAAAAAAGATTGATAAAAGCACGAAAAATAAAGTTTGAAAAAAATTAAACTTCCGGAGGACTGTAAGGTCGGAATATCATGTGACTGCGCCCTCGACTGGTGGTTATGCTGGAACTTTATTTTTTCACGCTTAATATCCTGTGTTTTAAAGAAAAATAAAATAAATACAATCAAAATAATTATTTGTTAAGACTTTCTTTAGTCATAAAGAAGATATGAAAACAGAATAGAAAGGTTTATAAGAAATTGATTGGAAAATTTCAAATTTACTTTTAATGAATAAAAGTTGATACATACCTTTTGTTCAATATATTGTAGTTTTACCATTTCCTCTCTACACCAATTATTTTTTCATGCTCTTTAATTAGTAGTTTCTCTTTTTCTTTTAAAACTTTCAAAACTTTTTCCAAATTTTCAATCGTTTTTTCCATATCTTTCAAGGAAGTACGGCTTTCAACTTCTTTATAATCTCGATAAATCCAATAAAAATTCATAGGAGGCAGCACAAGTTTCAAAAAAGCCTCCATAGCGGCTCTTGTCACCTTATGTCTAAAAAAGTGTTCAGTTTCTTCATCTAAACTCATATCAGCAACAACTTCAAAACTCATATCAACATCAACTTCTCCCAAAAATTTATCCAGCACATTTTTGATTACTTCGATTTTTTTTTTGCTTATGATCTGTTTTTTTGCATTCTGAACTTTCGAAGCGAAAATGAATTTCTTTAAATTTTCAAATAATTCTATAAGTGAATCTTCCAACGTTTTACGTCTTTCTTTGTCATTAGCAGGAAATCCTTCAAAATGTTGATATATTTCGTTTTCTTTACTAATTGCATTAGAGTCGGAACTGGTAACACTCAACCAAGCAGTAACCGATACAATAATACCTGATCTCCGCCAAGCTATCTAACAAGAATTTAACAAACACTATTCTGTTCAAGCAAACGAAAATTCATCTAACATTTCGATCGACCCCTCAATCTTCCACATTAACAACAAATATCCAGCCACCTTCCAAAAACCTATTCCAACAAAAACTTTCGACAAACTTGCAGATGAAGCAGAGCAGCAAATCTGCAAAAAATATTTTACTTCCTTTATCAAAGGCCACCGTAATTTTTACTTTTATCAATACTTGCAAATCTAACAAGATATTGCAGCTAATAATCACAACATCTCACATCTCTCCAAAAAACAAGCCATTGATCTTATCACCCAAAACATTGTATCTACTGATTACTTAGCTCGAGTAATCATATACTTCGATCTCTTTTATATTCAAGACAACAACACTAAACTTACCTTTTCACAAATATCCAAACACTACTTATCATCTGCCTTTCCCGAAGCAGAAAAAATTCTCTCTTCCAAATTTAAAATCCAATTCAAAGTTCCCGTAATTGAAAATTCTTTGTTTATTAAAGAAGATTCTTTTTTCCTCTAATCCAATCTTCTACAAACAACATAAATGCAGCCACCGCTTCTCTAAAAGATACATACTTAGTAGTTAGAGATGGTCAAGCCAATTTACCCAGAAGAATTAGATAATGATAGTACTCTAACGTCTAACCTGAGTGCCTCTAATTCTTGCAAAACTGTGAGAGCTGGGTATATGGTGAGCGCAATTGTAGAAGATATCTGAAAGGTTCCATTTACAATCTCTTCCACCCCCTATGAACCTTTCACCTGCTTTAATAAATTCCTTTTATCATGAAACTATCCACCTATTTCATCACCCCAAACACTTAACTCTTTCTTCCTACATTTACTAACAAATGGTCTGTGAAGTAACCTCCAAGACAAAGCTGTTATCTCTATTAAAAATGACTATAGTGAAGCACATATCTATCTTCCTGGTGAACCCTGTCTTCTACCTGATTACACAATTATACCTTACTTAGAAAGTATCTATCTTCATCTATTTATTCCTTTAAAATCGAACACTCAATACATCCCTAGCCCTAGCACTCTCTACTCACCTCTTAACCTATTAATATATACACACAACATTCAAGGCATTAACAAAAACCTTAAACAACAAGTTTGGAAACACTATTGTCTATCTAATAACTTGGATATTATCTGTTTTACAGAAATCAAACTCGCTAATAACAACATTCTTACCTCTAAACTCCTCAAAACTTCTCACTATACCTACTTTTGGTCCTGCACTGACAGCTTTAAAGCTGGAACTGCTATCATGATATGCAATTCCTTAACCCCTTATATACACAAGTCTGCTCTAATTTCTGGTTATGCCATTATGATTGACCTGCTTTTCAAACATGACTTTAAATTCCATATTATCTCTACATATCTTCCTAGCGACAATGCCTCTATTAGGCTTCAAACTCAAAACACTATTATCCAATGGCTACAAGATGCTAGCACTCTTAACCTGCTTCCTATTATACTTGGAGA